CAGTATCGATTTTTTCCCCCACCCCTACTGCCTATAAGAGTTAAAGCTGTGATAAAGCATAAAGGTGGTCATACCAAATATTGACTTTCAAGCTTCAAATTTTCGATAAATCTCGGCACTCATTTTAAATCAAATCAAATCACTTTTATTGTCACATCACATGCGGAGGTACACTGGTACAGTACATGCGAGTGAAATTCTTGTGTGCAAGCTTCACAAGCAACAGAGGTGTGCAAAAATACAATACCATAAGAACAAGCAAAATATAAAAATGGCTAAATCTGAGAGGTTTTTTTTTAAAGGCAAATATAATGAAATGATGGGCGATTCAAGACTTTTAGTACAGTACTCTGCCTGCAGAGTTAGGTTTCTACATGGTATTAATGAAACGTGTTCGGGAGAAAGGATACAGTCACCCTGCTGACTCTCTGGTTGGACCTGATTTTCAATCTCTATCAGTAGTTCACAATCAGGGATCATAAGGTGTCGATGTACTCTGATGTTCTGGTACTGGCCATCCTGGCTCAGAGGGTTGTTTGTGGAGTCTGTGCCAAACAGGACCAAAGCCAGCTCAATCTTCGTCTCTGAAAAAACCTGACAGAGGAGGGGGAAAGCATGTTGGGAGGGTGCTGAAATCAGCCTCATTAGGGTGCTTTGTTTTATAAATGTCCAGTTGTACCTGGCGCTGGACAAACTTCTGGATGACTTTTTTGGCAAGTTCAAAGGAAGACTCTTCCCCGGGTGCAGAGTTGGACATGGTAAGCCCCACATCCATGCACAGCACCACAGCTGTCTGCAGAGGACATACTTATTTAATTTACGACACTTAGAAGTACCAAAAACACAAAATTACTTCTCAAATGCTGCTTTAAGGTCGTGCTTTCTCAGGCAGATAAGATAAAACGAGTATGCGAGCCTTGTATGCACTGAATGAGGAGCGTAACCATTTCAGGCTGGACATGTCTCAACATGCCGCTGACGCTAAACGTCTCAAAAGTTCAAAGAAACATAAAAAAAAAAATGTTCCTAACGAATGAAAGCTGCACATTTAATGTAGTGAACAGTATCTAACAAGCATGTATATGTCCGTGACTTATCTCTTTAACAATTAAAGATAAAAACAACTTACTTTTGAGCCTGCCATTTTTTCTTCTTTTCCCTCCACCAAAGCAAAGACTGTGTCACTTTGTTATGGATCCGGAAAGAAACAATGAACTAGGAACCGAAACTAAGTTTCTATTTACGATGAGACTTCTTCCGTAGATCTTACGAATTTATTATTGATTGTTGTTCACCTTAAATTACAATGTTTGTCAAGACCCCTTTTGTGGTAGTAAGACTGAAGAGGCGGTCCGATAAAAGCTAAAATGAAATGTAGGTCAAACGCCCTCCGGCGAACCGCGCGCGTACAATATGCAAACATTTCCGAGCTGTGGTCAAGATTTCTGAAATACTTAATTCATACAAATAATAATTATAACTAATCACTGAAAATACAAAATAATATAACAACATGTATATAAGTATTAAAATAAAATAATAATAATAAAAAAAATACAAAATCTGCGCAAATTTTAACCTTGTCATCCCTAAATTGATTGTTTTGTGTTTTATTTACTAACGTTACTTAGATTTTTAATTTGCAATTATAATAGTTTTTGTGAAATGATAAGCCTGACTTCCCTACATCAAGATATTGAAATCAAACCCTCCTTTTAATGTTCCCTCAAACCAGCCCTGTATGCTCAGAAAGGTTATTAAATACATAATGTTATTATCTTCGATCATCCAGGAGCTATGTTCAGCCATGACTCACAGGTTTGTGCCTTTAGACTTAAATCGCTAAACATGGAGATGCGTCTTTTTAATATATGCATTAACACAGAGCTTGTGTATTTTAACACCCCAACTAGAGCCTAAATAAACTTAGGCCATAAATGTAACAAATCAGACATTTAAAAAGTGGCCACAGCAGAACAAATTACCAAATGTTAATCTGACTGTATTTCTCATGAACTTATTGTATTTGGAATGGTTGCTGTATAAGGATTTTAGATTTTGTTCAGTGAATATTGCAGGATAACACTGGGGTGCCAATAATCTCAACTTAAAGCACCCCTCACCCCCAGACAGCCATCTGCATTGCTGTGCACCATGCAGGGTTTACATGCTGACTCTTGTCTTTGTCTGCTGATTAGAGTGACTCGCTGGTTTTAACGATACAGAAATATTAGTCTGTAGTTGAGATGTAATAACACAACACTTTATTTCACTTGTGTAAATGTTTGCATCATATAGATTCACAACATGTAAAACTGCATCACTTAACCCAGCCAGTCATATCCATAAACATTTGAGTCAACAAACATTTAGACCATCTGGATGTTTTAATCCAGTCTTGCTTGAATTTTAATCTTTTTTTCCTTTTTTTTTGATAGTTGTTTACAGTACATATATCTCAAAGTGCTGAAGTATAAAAACACCTAGCTAGAACATCTTCTAGGCTTAAATATAGAAAACAAATTGAAGTAATATGTAAAATATGTGAGCATGGAAATGTAACAGGAATTCTTCAACTTCAGCTTTTTTGAGTGTGTGCGATTTAAAACTGTGAAGACAACACAAACACTTGTTTTAATGCTGTATGAAAACATGAACATATGAAAACATGAACAAAAAAAAAAACAATCTGTCAGCTTGTTCTCACTATGGCTTTGTAACTGCTTAATTAACCCTCGATAAGAAAAGAGGTATTGGTCTCATTTCCTTTCAATCGCCATGCATTGTTTAGATACCTTGACTATGTACAGAGTCCAGAAACCAACAAAAACTCACAGGCCAGAATTCTTCTTATCCCAGAGTGTGATGTAAGGATCATATCATGACTTTTAATTTTTAAAAATCCCTTGCAAATAAATAATCAGCAGTGGATTAAGCTAAAGAGACTCCTTGGAGGTCTTCAGTGCTATGAGATAATTATTGTTCAGTTATACACAAAAAAATAAAACTTTTAGTTGTCTTTTACTGGAATTGTTGTCACCAACAAAAACATAACTTAGCCAACATTTTCCTTCATCCAAATGTGTATTAACCTACAACAAAAAAATCCCAAACAAATGTACGGAAAATAGCTCATCTAAAGTCCAGGCTTTTAAAGAAAATAAATGCATGTCTTTTAAACACTAAACAACATACACTATTAAAGGACGAAGTACCGGACCACCTACACCTACAGTAGCCGCCCAGCCATGAAAACCCATGCCACAAAGCTCCAGACACACAGTTTTTGTGCTTCTGTATTGAAGCCAGGGGAGGCTTGGACCTCTGCAATATGCGCCTCAGCACTTGGTGACCCATATGTGACCTTATGTAACCTGGCTTTTGCAGTGGTTCCTAAAAGCTTTCATTTTGCAGTGATACCACTTACAGCTGATTGTGGAATATCCAGGAGGGCCGAAATTTCACAAATTGTCCTCTTGCAATGATGGCTTCCTATTATATCACCACACCTCAAATTCAGCAAGCTCTTTACAACAACTCATTCACAATTATTTGTGAAGGCAGATTGCATTGCTAGGTGCTGGAATTCAAAGACTCAAGTGGTATGACCAAATACTTTTGCCCATACGGTGTATATGTTGCTCAAAACAAAAGATTCATGCATTCTGTAGTGACTGATGGCTGTGGGGTTGCATGCTATAGGCAGAGGAGGAAAAGTCCAATTTTATGACAATGAATCTCTGTTTTTTCATGGTCACGCTGCCCCTTAAAACGACAGATTTTCACACTGGTGCTCTTTGGTGTATATTTCCACTAAAATCTGCAACTGACACAAAGTAAACCCACACCACTGCCAGGGGACGGTCACCCCCTTTACCCAGTTTTTAAGCCAGCCTCACTTCAAAGTGATTATGATTACTTCACAAACGCAACAGTGTTGCCTTTGAAGGTATTTTTGATGGCATTGAACAGCACAGTGATCATATATACTATGCAGATATTTACAGATGAAGTGAAAGTTGATGTAAACTCTCAGGAGTGTGTGCATATCAGTGTCCACGCCTTAGCTGTGAAAACCAAGGTTCATATGTTTGAAAAGGTCTTTGAGTGGGAGTGCTGTTCCATAATTATTGGTGGCTATTTAGTGATCTGTGAAGGCTGTAATGAACCTGTAATCAAAAAGAAAAGTCCCATAATAATTACTCCAATGCTTCAACTCCAATAATGCTAGCTGATAGCAGTTCAGCACCAAAGGAGAGTTCAGGCAGTGCTTACTGTGTGATCATTAACAAAAGAGACATTTTGAAATAGTTTTAGAAAAGAAATTCTAATCAAAAGATAATTTTCTTACTCCTGTGGCTTTCAGGAAAGTCTCAAACCCTTCATTAGCAAGAACATAGATAGTAGTGGTGCTTATTTTGACACTGAAATTATTCAAATAATTCCCAACTTTGACCACATTAGCAATATGCTCCTTGAGCCCAGCGCCCACTACTTCACACTGATGACGTTTGGGCAAGTTCACTGGGCGCCTTGCTCTGTAGAGTGCCAGAAACAGTGTCAGAGTCAAGCAACTCCACTATGCTGTATGGTGAACAGTCTTCAAGCCCCAATTTCCCACAGGCCCAGCCACAGAAGCCTTTCTCCAGGTCGCGCACCGCCTGCCACCACTCACTGAAGGCCCAGGACACCTGCACCACAGCAGAGTACAGAGCCAGTGACAGTGCCAAAGGCATGATGAGCATGGGGTAGAAGATGATAAGAAAGGGGCATATTGTTATCTTGTGCCAGAACGTCCGCTCCTCATTGTACACCAGGAAGACATTGTACCAGGTGAGGGTGCCGTAGTAGAAGGAAGTGATGAACGAGAGGATGAAAACCACAGGTGCGCACGAGATGCTCCACAGGACCACATGGGGTCCCTGACACACACCTAAGCTACAGGTGCGCTTGGAGCCTTCGCTTGCTTCGCATGCTGCATCAAGACGCTCCCTCGACTTGGCGAGTTCCCTGATTTCCTTCTCTGTCAAAGTGACGTGTATGTCTACCACCTGACCCTTCTTCTTTCCACGCGTAATAGTGCCAGTCAGGGTCACGTAGCGGCTGTCTGGAGGAAGACTCCAGCCTGTTCATACAGGATATGACATGGAAGTTAATCAAGCGACACACAGGCAAGCCCAAACGTAACTGTAAAAAAGCCTGTGCAGTGTGTAAAAACATAATAACAGAACACAATCATTTGCAAATCTCAGTAACCCACATTTTGAATCTGGACCAATAAACTGAAAATTCAAATTCTTTTTGGAAAACATGGGCACTGAATGCTCCGACTACAGAGGCGAGAGATCATCTGTCTCAAAATCAGCGTGCAGTTCAAAAGCATCTCTGATGGGGTTCTATTAATGCTTGTGGAATTGGCAGTTGGCACAACTGGAAAGGCTCCAGCAATGCTGAAAGATATACACAGGTTTTACAGCAACATTTTAGCAAAGGCATCACATATCTCAGTGAGACAACACTAAAGAGTTGCATCCATTACAGCATGGCTTCATAGTAGAAGCCTGCAAGGATTGTTGTTGAAAGAAAAGAGGATGCTACAGTACACAGTGGTAAACATGGCCCTGTCCCAACTTTTTTTTAGATGTGCTGCTGCCATCAAATTCAAAATCACTTTATTTTTTCTGGGTATGTTTTCTGTGTTGTATTGTGAATAAAATATGGGTTTATGAGATTTGCAAATCACTGTATTTTGTTCTTATCTATACTTTATACAGCATCCCACCATTTTTGGAATAATGGTTGCTGTAACACTGAAGTCTATTTCATGCACAAATCCTGTCCTACAGTACTAACATCTGACATGTTGGGTTCATGAGTTTAACAGTGTGAGCTTTTTCACCTTCGCCTGTGGGTGTGCAGAGGAATTTAGTTCCCTCCTCAGTGCTCCTCTCTGCTCCTTCGTCTCCTCCTTGGTCCTCTCCTGGTACCCTCTCCATTTCAGACCGGTAAACAATGAAGGACTCAGGACGTGGATCTTTCTTCTTCTTCCTCTTCCTCCTCATGGAGGGTCCTACTTCCCCATCATCCGCATGGCTCCCTGACACGTCAGACCTTAAGGAGACCATCTGGGGGCTGCCTTCCCCCTCAGTCTGAGGCTCCTCTACCTGTGCCATGTTCTCTCATTCATCCAATCCAACTCTTACTCTGAGGCTACTGTTTGGATGTGTTATGTGTGGAAATGAATAGTGAAATTCTAAGCAGCATACAAATCTCCAAATATTGCATTAAGCCTTTACTCTGATGACTAGGTGATTGCAAAGTCATAAAAACATACACACTAGCACACACAGACACACACACACAGAGTGTCATTAGGAAAAACATGTTTTTAAGCTCAGTATGTAAGCCTGTGCCCACTGATCCTGGCCTAGATTCTGCACAGTAGCCTATTTTTGCTTTATGTGCTGATGTCAAATGTCATATTATCATTGATTTCATGGCATCTCATGGTATGGCATGAACAGGAAGCAAATAGGATATCACAAACAAAGCATGACACAATTGTTCAAAGGGGGGAGGGGGTCTCTTTGCATGACAGCGCAGCAATATAGGCTGAAGCTCAGGCTAATATAATCACGTCCAGACACATGATAGGGGGAAAAATAAGGAATTTAAAGAAGGAAATGTACAGTTGGTCCAAAACAATGCATGTTTTTCAGAAGAGGGGGTGAAAGCGACAATGAAGCCCTTCATACAGCTGATCCCCTCCCATTTAAATCCCACCCATGTCCGCTCTTTTGTCTGCAGCCGGTGAATGTGCTCTAACCACAACATTTCCACTGCGGTTTCATCTTACCTTCAATCTGCTGGACGAGTTCCGTGTAGATTAACTTGCACCGTGTGAGAATAAATTACTGAATCTGCCTGACACATAGGAGCAGAGCCCGCAAATTTCAGCGCTGTGTTTGTGTCCATACAGATGCGCTACGCAAAGCGATTTCCAGAATAGCACTAGTCCCGCCCCTCCAACCTCTGCCGCACACCAATCCCCACCATCCATGATCCTCACGGCTGTCATGTGAACAAGGAAAAAATGATGATGTGGGAAAACCATCGTAGTCTAATATAATTCCCGGGTATTATATTAGACTATGATGTTTTTCCCACATTTTTCCTACAGTCTAATGAATCCAGTCCTTTTTGACCTTTTAAAATATCATTAAAGAAGTATTATGTTATTCTTGTTGCAATTTCCTCTGCTCAATTGGCCAGATCACTCTTTTTTTTTTTTTTTTTTTTTAACGCATTTCTAATATCAGTAAGACTTTTGAGTGGTATAAGTGAAGGATATAAGTCACTTAAGTCGCTAAAAACTGATTGCAGGATTACTTTGGGACAGGAGCGCTATTTGTGGAAAATCCTAAACTTATTAAAATATGAGCAAATAAATGGAAATAGAGTATATAAGGTCAAAAATATTGAAAAAAAAATAAGCTCAAAATAGCTTTTTGTGGCTAGTAGACAATAGTAAACAACACACTGATTAAATATATGAAATGAGTAGGCTGTAATAGCGATGAATTCCAACTGTTTTTACAGAAAATCATATTTCATTTAAAATTTTCATACAATACCAACATAAAATTATTATTAATAATAACATATTATTAACATAAAATGAATTTTATTAAATGAATTATGAATTTTAAATTTTCTCAATAAAAACGTTCAATAATATGGTAGCCTTTAAAAAAAAGTCAGTAGAAATAATATGAATGTTGATTCCTTTTCTTATTAAAAATAACATTAAAACAATGTCATTTCCTGAAGAAGTCTCAGTTCCTAGCCTTTAGCTTTAGCATCAATAGCTCTGAAGAACGGGATCAGTTGATGTGATAATATTAGCCTCAAAGTATAAAAATGAATGACCAGGATTCATTTGATAATATTGACCAGCTCCTCTTTCACCTCGGTAAATTCACTTATTCAGTTTATTACAGTTTATTACATCAGTTATGTTATCTTGGGTTAGCATTAGCTTATTAGCTGTATGGCTAAATGTCAGTCACAAGCTAGGAGCTACAGACAACATGAAAATTTAAACGGTGTTAAAAAGGTTTTAGAGGTTTATTTATATTATTGTTGTTTTTGTTATTATTATTAAAGATAAGTGTTATTTGTACTTTTTTTAAAGCTCTTCAAACTCGGGAGCTATCTCAAAAGAAGAATGAAATTAACCAACAGATTAAAGGTATGTGTTGATGCTAATGTTGGTGTAAAACAGTGGCTTAAGAAAGGTAATGATAAACTGGGCTAAAGACAGGCCTTTGTGTCTTTTGTTATTAGATATTAAACACCATTAACCTTTTTTTTTTGTCAGTTTAAGCCACAGAGCCCCTCTTAGCCACCTTGATGTGTCCTCTCTGTTTCTGTCTGCATGTTATATTATGATTAGGTCTATATTTTGTTGTACAACACCAAAATTTTTGTAGTTTCTCCTCTGTACTACACAAAATTAAGTAATCAATACGTCATTAAAGCTAAAACTCTGTACTTTAATCACATTTTGATGGTTTTATTTAAAATTCACAAGTGGTAGCGTGAAGGACCAAAATCAACAAAACTGTATCTTTGTCCAACAACTGTATTCTTAATGTTTCAGTAGTTGTTAGTCACTTGTCCTTTTGCTGACTTCTCGCATTACGTTGAAGGGTGGTTTTCTCATATCTAGGTGTGTTTTTATTTCCTGCTTTTATTCTCTTCCCTCATTTCTAACTGTCTGTCATTAGATTTCCTTATTTGATCACTTTCTCCTGTACTCAATCTACTCCTTTGTGTATATGTATAGACTTGCCTCGTCAATTATCACCTTGTCTGTTTGTCTACCTTTTGTTTCACAAGCCCAATTCTATTTAGTTTTTCATGTTTTGTTTATGTTTTTTCTCTGTTTCTGTTTTTTGGATCAATGACTAAAGGGTTTTTTTTGTTATGCTTGCCTGTGGGTCCAGTCTCTAGGATTTTATGATACTAAGTGGCAGTATCCTCTTTTTAATATCTGGTCACTTTGTCTTGAGTCATTTAAAAACATTGCCCATTCATTCCCTTGTATAAGGTCCATTTAGCCCACTATTGTTTAAAGATCCCTGCTTTAGTACTGATTGATCAGGCTATCCCATTGAGTACACTTCCAACCACCTGACTAGCCTTAAGGGATTAGATTTTAAAGTGATAGTGTCCTTTTGAATTTCCTTATCAGCTATTAACAGAAGCACAATGTTGGGGAATCCTATATCACGATCTTTATCTTTTAATATAAGAATATAAAAGATAAAGATATAATATAAGTGTGCTGTGTTAATGTGTTTGGCAACAGTTTCCAGAACCAACATTGCTGAGAAGAAGTCTTACATTGAAGCAATCAACAGAAATATTGAGCAACTTGAAGAGGAAATCAGTGTGAAACAGAGCACTGTAACACGTAATAAAGCAAATGCAAAAAGGTACAGCATTTTGTAGAATTAAACAGGAAATAAATGTGCCAAACCATGATAGATTACGGCGCAGGAAGATTGTGCAAAAGTGTTGAGTCACCTATCATTTCTTTATATTTTGCTCCAAGGAGCCAGACTTTCTTGTGATTTTTACAGTGGTCTTGAGTATTATTTCTCCAGGCTTTCTGAAGGTCTTTTAAAGTTTTTCTTTGGACATTTGGATTCTTTTTCACTCATTTTCAATCTAGTCCTTGTTTATGACCAATGTTTTTGTTGTTGTTGTTGTTGTTTGTATCTTTATTAACACTGCCACTTAACACTGACCTGTGAATCATTCAAGCATAAAAATGCATCTAAATCAAGGAATTAACCAGTATTTTGTCTGCACATAACAGATAATGTAGCAAGGAAGTCATTTTAAACTGTATTTTTAGGCACTTTGTAATTAGCACCCTGCCATAAAAACATATAATTTACTCCCATTTCTTGAGTTGATTCTACAAAAAATGCCAAAGATAACTCAGTTTGATAGAAATGAAATAGCATTTTGCACCAACAATGATTCCCAAAGAGCTTAGCTAAAAACTTGGAAGAAATAATAGAAAATAGGACAAGTGGAGGATAGAAGAAGTGATGGAAACATTAAAAAACTAAAGATGAACAGGATCTCAAAGTCCTATCCTTGAGAAATAGAGAAAAAAAAGTCCAGTAAAGACTTGACACAGGACCTGAGAGATAGATCTCATCCATCTACTGTTCACTGAAACCAAACAAAATTGGTCTCACTGGAAGGATGATTGTCGAGAAGCCATTCCTAAGAAGTGGTATGCCAGGCTGAGGTTTGCCAAATTACACAGGACTGGACTGAAAATCGGGCAACAAGGTCTTATGTAGTGATGAATCCCATTAGTTTAAATTGTCGTCAGTATGTACAGAGGAGGTCAGTCAAGTGTCTACAGCCAGTTATATAACACACGGTTAAGGCTGGATGATGGTTTGAGGCTCCATTTCAGCCTGTGTTGTTATCAAAACTGGTGAAGTAATGAACAAAAGACACTCCCATCAAATTTTGATCCATCGTGCACTATCCCCTAGAAAGCCTGTGATTGGGAACAGCTTCATTTTTTGTTAGTTCTTTTGTAAGTTCTAAAAAAGTCTAGTACTTAATTAATATGTAGCAAGTGACAGAGTAAAAGTAAATAACCTACAGAGTACCTGCTTGTCTTTTATATAAATTTAGGATGAAGGCGACTAACGGCCTGCTTCTTCAATATGAGCAGACGTTGAAAGCAGAACTGGAGAAAAGAAAAGCCAACTACAACCATGACACGTGGGTTCATTTAGCAGCCTTGTTTGTGTTTAATACATTTGTGTGTTGGAAACAGACATGTTAAATGTTCTTTATTTATACCTAAACAGGGAAGTCTTTCAAGAAAGGATTGCAAGCTACAGAAAGATTTTCCAGGAGCATAAAGAATATTATTTACAAAACCCTCTTGCTGAAAAGCTCCTCGTGCTGAAGGCTGAAAAAGAGGAAATTGAATGTAGGATCAAAGCTTGGGATGAACAAATAACAATGAAGCAGAAGGAGCTGGACCATCTTACTGGTGATAAACCTTTCGTATCTTTGAGCTTTGCTCTGTTAGAGCTGAACATTTTACAGCTTGTTATACAGTCCCTTAAATTTTTGTCCGAACAGGTCCAGTAGTTACTTCATTTTCCACCGAGAAACTGCCAGATAGGTATTTTAGCGAATCACTCACAAAGAATAATCACATAGCTTACAGGAATGGTCATTTCTGACTGACCGAACCCATTTTTTTGTTTCTAGTGCTTTTGGCTTGCAGCCTGTAACAGAACAAGAGAATGGATTTGATCATCAGACAGCCAGGGACAGAGAGCCTTCCATTGACATATCCTCTCTGCATCTCAATCAGACAACGGTACAGATTTAGCATTTTATCAAATGCATCTAAACACTGGCAAGCAATCATGAAAGGCAGTTAAAGCAGTTCCTGTTATAACTTCACACTTTGCTAAATCTGAGCATTTGTTACAGAGTGGTCATAAAACATCTGATGAAGAGGTAAATGCTGAAGAGATCCATGAGGAAAACATCCAGGATTTACCCACCTGTAGTACTTCTCCAGAGAAAGGAAGTAAGGAGCTGTGGTCCAGTCAACAGTTTTGTGGTGAGTCATATACTGAAGGGTGTATTCGGGGTCACTCACATTAAAAGGGGACATTATTTGACTCTTCTTACTCATAATATAGATTGATTGATTGCTGTCTATTTCAGTCTATGTCTTTGGATGATAAAGAAATATGTAAAGTAAAGATAGAAAGGACTAAAGATAAGAAAAGGGCAATCACAAGCTTCCTTTTTTAAGCCAGAGAGAAAATCTCACTATTCACTATTGAGGAATTTCATTTTTTTTAAAAGGGTCGACCAACAAATGACATATTCTGTAAATAAAACCATCCTGTTTTATAATTACAGGGCAGTCTGTGCAATTACCTACACAGTTTTACAAATGTATTTTTTAAAATTGAATCCCAAACAGTCATCCTCATCATCTAGCAAGATTAAGATCACCTTGGTAACTTATGTGACACTGAAAGCTGAAGCTCAACATAACCTGTTAATCTGGCTTTGTGGTGCGCCTCTCTGGTGCCATGAGTTTAGTTTGAATGATCATGTTAATCAAACCACATGAACACAATATTTTCTTCTTCAGACCGGAATCAGCCAGTGGACATGCACACTGAGGAGCAGAAAGAGGAGACTTCACAAGAACATCAGGTTTTCTTATTTTTAGTTTACTATACTTGCCATTTCTGCTAATACACCTAAACCAATTAATCAAACAAATTTGCCAAATGTATTAAATGTATAACTTTTTCTTTTTTCTTGTTATTTCTTCTTGCTGTCCTAGTTTACCCTGCTGTCTCCACAGCAGTGTGTGTTATAAATAGGTAGTTGCGGCTTCTAGTAAAGGCATTCCACAGTTTTGTATGCCTTTACTAGAAGCCGCACTGCTTATCATATAGAAACCCAGCACAGGATTAGAAATTACCACTGTTTGTCAGAAACCTACATGAAAAGCTGGGGTTGTAGGGTTTACGAGGTAACCTAACAACAGACCGAAATGTGCTGTTTTGTGGGAAATGTAGTCCAGACCTGCCAAGTATGATTTTGACATTTTTATCAATGAAATACAAATTTTAGGACTTTTAATAATCTATTCTACTGTATCAGAGAAGTTTAGAGGCCGTGTATGTTTCCAGGAAAATATCAAGTTGCTCGAGTCACTCCACAGAACAGTATTGCCACAATGGAAAACCCACTTTTACAAGTATCCATTCTAACTGTTGGAAATGCTTTGACCCCCTCGACAGGAGAAGCTGCCCAGAGTTTTCTATGCAGAGGAGATTTTTGAGAGTGAGATGGAGAAGGGAGCAGCTACACATGAAGAGCAGCCACCACGCGACAAGGACGATGAGGAACTCGCTACTTCTTCTCAGCCTCCATCTCAGGAGACTGATCCTCAGTCAAAAATTACAATTGCGTCTTCAACCCCGACATTCTCATTTAAGTAAGACTTTGGATGAGTGGTCTGATGCTTTGAATTACACTCACTCAAGTCCTGACAACTGCTTTTCGTGTGTTCACTGTAGCTTTAGCCCAGCCAGCTCCAAAGATCAAGGGAGCTCTGAGACCAAATCTCCAGCTTTCTTGTTCTCTCTGAACTCTGATCCCAACACACCAGGCTTTCCTGGATTTGGATTTGATGTGGGCTCATCACAGGAGGAGGTGAGGAATAAATGATCTCACAGAAATCACTGTGTAGGTTTTAAGGCATCCAGCTCATGGTAGTCTTACAGGCTTGGGTTGAGGGAAACTGGATGTCTGTTTTTGGCTCATGACGATGTTTTATTTCCCATCCAAGAGGTGGCGTTAGTTCTAAAATCTTAAACTTTCTACTTAAAATGCAGTCTTGAGATAACTTTACTGTTGTTTCCAGCCAAGGTTATTATAGTTAAATCAAATCAAATCAAAATAGATCACTGTTATTGTCACATCCCATGTGCCGGTACACTGGTACAGCACAAGCAACAGTGGTAACTAAAATAAACCTAAAAAAAATTTTTAAACTAACATAAACAATTTTGTGAACTTGGAAAATAAAATAAAACAAGATAAAAAAAAAAAAAAAAGAGGAATAAATAAGGAAAAATAATGAAATATCCTTAGTTTTTGGTATCTGATACTTTGGTAAAAATGTTACTATAGCTTTCCTGATGAGGCATTGTTGGATGTGTTTTCCTAAATATTGCTTCTAACATATGGCCTCCTTATACAATAATAATTAAAAAGACTAAAACTAACACTCTAATAAAAAGTAAATTACAACCATACAGTAAAAAGTATACTGAAACAAAACTCTGGAAAATAACTGAACCTAAACTTAACTAAAAACAAATAGTCAAAATGAAAAAACAATGAAAACTGATTATAAAGTACAAAACTATTATTAACTCTGGTTTCAACCGCCACTCACGCTGTGACCCATATGGGAGGGCCAGTGTTTTGCAGAGAATTCACACCATTGCTTCTGTGACCTTTAACAGCCCTTATGACAGGATGGGCCAGCAACTCTCAGGACCAACTCCGGGAGGCTAAATATGTCAGATTCCTCTTGGATAAGGCTTGAAACTTTCTCATGAACCAAAAAATCCCCCAAAATGTCCAGTTGCCTTCAACAAACAATTAAGACAGAAAACAGTATTTTCCTGCTTTTGGAATTACCTCCAGGTTTCTTTGCAGGACTTTTTCGGTTTCACTGGATCTTTGTTCACTGAGAAGGTAATGTTTTATGTCACTGAAAGCCTTCTCTACTTCATGTCGTCTCGGTTTTGGAACAAACATACTAAACTATGATTAACCATTTCTAGAATACCGCTGAATCTAAATCTTCAAGCAGTAAGTATCAAACCACAATGTGTTTGTGTGGTGTGTCGTTTTGGACCACTGATGTGTGCTGTATATGATTTCACAGGCCCTCAATTCCTGTTTGACCAACCAGAGACATGCGAGGACTTCCAGTTTGCTTTTGCCACCAAGAGCCCTCAATCAGCTAAAAAAGAAAATAGTGGAAATGATTTTCCATTTTCATTCAATTTCTAAGAGCTGTAAAAGTGTTTTCAAGTTAAGTTCTTCCATCTTCATTTTCACACTAATCTTCTTATGTTGTGACATTAGCAGGAGCTGAAATAGCAACACATTTTTTGCTCTGTTGAGCGGTCATTATTAATTTGCAGGTTTAACCTAAAGTGAAAATTCAAACAACAATTAACTGATTTCTAATAGAGTTCAATAGAATTTTATTTAAGACAGATATAGAGACAATAATACACACGTAAGTTCATATTCCTTTACAGATTTCATTGTTCATGTGAAATAGTTTTTTGTGAAGTTTAGTTTGTTTACAGGTGTCTGTTCATATTTTGCTGTTTGCTGTTCAGTTTAAAAGGCAGAAGCAGTTTTCAGTCGAACAGTATTAAAAAAAACCAAACGAAGACACTTAACTGGCCATTTCAGGTCACATTCAGACATTTCATGTGTTAAATAAGATTATATAAGAGTATCTCAATAAACATTTAGTAGCTCTTATTTATAGCTAATAAAATATTAATAAAACTCTGTAATAAAACTGTTAAAAAGATTCCTTTATCATATGATTTCTGGCTCATTCATTCATGATTTTGGAGAGAAAGCATTTATAACACCTTGCATACAGTCTTGTTTCATGGCACAGTCAGTAGTTAATCTATAAAATGTTTTGACCAGTGGCACTCATGACTGTCTGTTGAGCAGTGGTTTGAATATACAAACCCTCCCTTGGATTTTGGCACAATAAGAAAACATTTGTGCTGAATTCCTTGTCAAATAAATACTGGTACACAGGTGAGATCAGTGCTGGCATTTAATTCAATTCAATTCAAT